CCCCCCTTCCCCTAAAACAAAACACACGCCCCCTCTCCCTCTCCCTCAAAATTTCTCTCATCAACAAAGCTTCTTCTCCTTCATCCTCTTCTCCACTCAACCAATCCCCAATCTCTGTTCCTCCCAAGATCTCTAAGTAAATAACATGATTCTATTCCTCTTTCTTAGTATTTTTTTTTGTTTTCAAATTTTTATTTTCCCCATTCTTTTCCTTTGCTATTGTATGTGTAGGATAGTAGAATCATGGATACTCTTGACTTGGTTTAGGATTATAGTATATATGTGGCATGTGAGGCTAATAGATTTGGTTGAATTGGGGGAAGACATTGTTGAGCTTGTGAGGAATGGAAGTTTAATTGGGGCTTTGGGTAACTTGGGGTGTATATGCACCTTAAGTGTTTGTTGAATTGCCACAATGAGTTTGAATGTAAATTGTGACCAATTGTGCGAGTGAAGTCTCAGTAACCGCCATTGGTTCCCATATTCTGCCGATTACTGACAGTAGTGTTTGTTGTGTAGGTACCATGACACCTTCAAAGAAGAGACGCACCACCGGAGCCTCGTCAAGTGGTCATGGAGGTTCATCCCGGGCACGGGCACCAGCCAGTGCAGCGCAGTTTGATCGTACCGGATTTGTCTCCAGAGCTGCCCAAGACCATTTCAGTTTGAAGGCCACTAAAAAACCTGTACCGGAAAGGGGTATTGATAGGGCATCCCTCTAGGATAAGTGCCCTAATATGTATCGGGAGTTGATCAGGCACAGATTGGACAACTTTTTCGAAGAGCCGGAGGAGGGTAACTTGATGCTTGTCCGGGAGTTCTCTGCCAACTGCCCCGAACATGAAGATAGAATATGCATTGTACGACACACGAGGGTGGATGCCTAGATAGAAGCCATCAGGAGAGTGTATCGATTGCCTGTATTCAATGGGGAGGAGGATTTCTATGATACTTACAAGCGAGAACCCATCGCATGGAACATGTTTTTCAGAACTATCTGTTTACCAGACAAAGAGGTAGTATGGGTTGTGCCGGGATCGAAGCTACACTCTGCCTCACTCACTTTTGAAGGAAAGTGCTGGTTACACATCATCAACAATCGCTTGCTACCATCCCACAACACCACAGAGGTAAATGGTCCGAGAGCTGCCT